TGTTGGTATGTAGAAACACAGCTGATTTTTGTGTGTTGGCGTTATACCCATAATTTTGCTGAATTCATTTATTAGCTCTTGTAGTTGATTTTAATGAATTCTATGGGATAGTCTATATATGGAATTATGTAATCTTCAAAAGAGGGAGTTTTACTTCTTCCTATCCATTTCGATGCTATTATTTCTCTTGACTAATTGTGCTGGCTAGGACTTCTAAATCCATTGCTGAGTAGCAGTGGTCTTCCTCATGTTATTTCTGATCTGAGGGGAAAGCTTTCAGTCTTTCACCATTGAATATGATGTTAGTTGCGAGTTTTTTGTATATGCCCTACATATTCTGGAAGTTTCCTTCTATTCCTAGTTTGCTAAGTTGTTTTCATTATGAAAAGGTGTTAGATTTTTGTCAGATGCTTTTTCTGCATCTATTAGGATAATCATGTAGGGTTTCCTCCCTTTTAGTCTATTAACGTGGTATGTTACGTTGAATTTTGTGTGTGCATGTGTATTGAACTACCCCTGCATTCTTAGGATAAAATACCACTTGGTCATGGTGTATAATCTTTTTAATAAACTGTGCGATTCAGTTGGCTAGCATTTTGTTGAGAAATTTTGTGTCTGTATTCATAACTGATCTGCAGTTTTCTTATGGTATCTGTCAGGCTTTGGGATCAGGGTAATAAATGCAGCCCTCTTAGAATATGTTAGAAAGTTTCCTTTTCTTCTCTTTTTTTGGAGGAATTTGAGTAGGATTAAAGTTAAAACTATTTTAAATGTTCGATATAATTCACCAGTGAAACCTTCTGGTCCTGGTTCTTCGTTTGGAGGTTTTTGATTATTGGCCCAATCTCTTTACTTGTTATAGGTCTGTTGAGATTTTCTATTTCTTCTTGAGTCATTTTTGGTAATTTGCATGTTCCTAGGAATTTTTCTATTTTGTCTAGATTATCTAATTGGCATATAATTGTTTGTAGTATTCTTTTATAAGCCTTTAATTTCCATAAAGTTGGTAGTAATGTCCTTGTTTTCATTTCTGATTTTTGTTATCTGCATTTTCTCACCTTTATTCTTAGTCTAGTTAAAGTTTTGTCAATTTTGTTGATCCTTTCAAAGAACCAGCTTTTGGTTTTGTTGCTTGTTTTTCTGTACTCTATATTGTTGTCCCCTCTCTAATCTTTATTATTTCCTTCCTTCTGCTAGAGTTGGGTTTTGCTTGCTCTTTTTCTAGTTAAGGTGTAAAGTTGATTTTTTTTTTTTTTAATGTAGCATTTACCAATATAAAGTTCCCTCTTGAGTATGGCATTCTCTGCATCCCATAATTTTGACATATTTGTTTTCTTTTTCACTTGTCTCACAATTTTTCTTGATTTCCCTAGTGATTTCTTCTTTGACTCAGTTTATTGAGATTTAGTTTTGGCCTAACGTGGTTTATCCTGAAGAAGTTTCCATGTGCAATTGAGAATAACGTATATTCTCCTGCTGTCGATGGGGAAAAGAGTATTCTAACTTTTAAATACCTTCACTGGCACCACTGGGGAAGCTGCTTTCACCCTTGAAGGTTGAAAAAATGGCTATCTTCTGTGCCGATCCCTCAATGAATTTCCAGGAAGGTCACATTGTACAACCCTGATTTTTTGGAGGGCAAGGTCCCTATTGCCCACCTGTCACGAGCAAGCTGCACTCAGGAACATGGGCTGCCATTCCCATAGCTGCCTGTCATGGAGATAGGAGATGATGAATAGTAACAGCCAGCTACTATTCAAAATGCCAAAGTTCACCAAAAGTCACCAGCCTCTCTCTTCATCAAGTACTCTTGCAGATGCTACAAGTGTTTGACTGGACTCCATAGTTCCCAAATGGTTTATTCTGACTGCTTGCCAGCTCATTAGTCGTTTCCATTCTGCCACCTTCCATGATGTCACTCACATCTGTTTTTATTTTAGATGTAATCTTTCGAAAATAAGTTTTGTAATCTGCCTCATATATGTGACATGTTTAATGTTATTGTATATTTACCTAACTTTTGGCTGTCGAAAATAATATGGCAGTCTATTTTGGGAAAAATTGGCCAGAGTTGTAGAATTTTAAGTAGGAATCACATTCAGTAGATCATGTTATTTTGGTGAGCTTGAGTCTGTCTTATGACTGACCCCTTTCTTTAAGTACTTCTTCATCGTCACTTGCCCAGTAACTTCTGCTTCCATTTTCATTTTATTTTCCACAGTCACAGAAGGACAAATACTGTAGAATGGTGGTTGCCAGGGGCTGAGGATAGGGGCAATGAAGAGTCACGGTTCAGTAGGCACAAAGTTTCAGTTAAGCAAGATGATAAAGTTCTAGAGCTCTGCTTTTTGACATTTTACTTGTAGTTAAAGAGGGTAGTTCTCATGTTTTGTGTTCTTAGCACAATTTTAAAAATTAATTAAAATGATAGTGTTAACAAAAATGTTGACGAACTGTACCCAACAATTAAGTTGTTGGTCAACTTAAAAGAAAAAAATCAAGGGTAGCCTGGTGGAAGAAGGTAGAAGGAAGAGTTGAGGCTGCTGCTGGAGACAAAAGAACCATGCAATAAGCACATCTAAGACTGAATATGCATCCAGATTGAGCCAAGAGGAAATTTGGAGTGAGTGGGCATCATATACTGATCTTCCATGGCTTGTGGTGTTTAGCTACTATTACCTACCTACAAGTGCAAAAAACAAATAACAGGTAGGAAAATTTTGGAATGAACCAATGTGATTTCTGACTGTACTGACATAATTTTTATCAGGTGACTCCCTACTATAAAAGATGAGTGTTATTTTATGTGTTCTTTTTGTATTTTTCTCTTTTTTCACTCTTCATCTCCCAATTTTCGTTAGAATACTCTGATGTGTAGATACTGTCTTGACTTACTTTGTCACACTTTATAACTTTATAGACTTTTTCAGAACTGTTAAATTTACATTTTGTTCTGGGACCATAGTAAATTGTTACATACATTTATATGCTTAAATAAATTTTTGTCCATCTCATCTTTTGATAGCACTGTTTCTGTGAGTTCCTGATTTTGATACCACAAAGGGTTTAAGTCTCTATATCTCACAGTGCACTAAATTTTGTCCTGGAATACAATGGAATCTTTTGATCAAATATAGGTCTTCATGTCAGGAAACTTCTGTTCTGTCTTTCATTGTATTTTCTCATTTATTTTGTTTTCTTTTTCAGACAGTGGTTAACTAAGATCTGTATAACAAGCATCATCTCTCTAACCTTCTGATTGCTGTACTTTTTCTTTACATCTTGTTCGCTTTTTCTCAAAATTGTCCTCTATCAGTGACTTGGTTTTACTGCTTTGACTCCTCTTGTTGATGTACTTACTAGTTCTGCTATTAACGTCTGTCTATTTATTTTTTTATTTCCTTAACTCTTTAGGCTACCTTTTCTTTTCAGTGTTATTTTGATCATAAGAATTTTGTTTTTCTTGAGAACATAAAGCAGTTTTTTCGAAAATTTTCTTTTTCCTGTGATCAGTATTAATCCCGAATAGATTTTTCTTCTATCTTTTGAATACATGGGTATAGTTTAAATGGTTTTTTTAGGGCTTGGAAAGCTTAATGGAGCTTCTTTATGATTTATAGAAAGGGGCCTTTTATCTTTCCCCTCCTCTGCTTCAGAATGAGCTAATCTGTTACTTCAGAGAGCTGGGAAATTATATATTATGTGGTAGCGATGCTGCTGCTGAGGTGAGAGGTGAGATTGATTTATTTATAAATTTGTTCTGTTTTTTTCTAACTCTTCTTTAACTTTCCTTTTGGATAAAGGACAAAGTATAGAACTTTGTCACTTACTTTTGCCCTGATAAAGTACTGTTTGGCTACCAGGGAAAGGGGAGTTTCAACTCTTTTTTACGTCTTTTCCCTTATCACATTAGTGTCCCTATACCCATCCACCAGATTGGTGGGTACCAGTGAAAATTTCTCAGGGCATGCGACATATGGATTCTGGAAGTGGTCTTCCAGTTCAACTGATTCAGCATCTGAATGATACTTTTTAATAAAATTTCATGGTATGAGTTTGAAAGCTTTTCTAGCTTAGGGACATTTTAACTTTTTTATTTATTTTTTAGAGAGGGATAGTCTTCTGCAAACCTACACCTGAGCCACCATCTTTCCTCTTTCAAACTTTCTTATTTGGAACTTCTATGTGGATGCAGGCATTTTAAGAAGTCTCCTAAAACAGTGAACATGAAACTTTAATATTCATAAGAAACTCTTAGGGAACTGGTTTAAAATGCAGATTTGTGGACCCTCTCCCCTGAAAGTCTGACACATTGTATTTGAATAGGATCCCAGAAGTCTTTTAGCTTAACCTGATGCAGGTTGTCCAGAGTTTAATTTTGAGTAATGCTATCTTAAGTGTTAAAATAATCAGGTTTAGCTATGAAGTAGATAATTTGGTAACCTGGGCATTTCAGGCTGTCCCATGGGCTGAATAAGCTGGTAGCTGCTTGGCTCGGCTTCTAGAGGACCTACTACTCATTAAAATAAAAGTTCTTTCATTGTCTTCTCTTGGCCCAAGTTCGATTTCCCAAACTTTGAGATTTTGTGAACTAGGTAAATCTTTACTCACTGTCCCACCTCACCCCATCTGCAAGAAATATCACATAGTTTTCCAGTTTTTTATTTAGTTGAATGAGGACATGGCAAATAAATCAACAATGAAATAAAGGACATTTTTAACACTTCGTCTCAACCACAACCACCAAAGATATAAATAACTAAAACTGTAGGAAGAATACAACCTCATGATACATAGCGTCTTTTAAATTGAGTACATTTAGTTCTAGGCAAAACTATATTTTCCTCTTGTAAAAAAATTTTTATTTAGCTAGATCAATGAGTGCTTTCTCATGGTTGACATTTAAGAACTGCTGCTTAGTACTTGGAACAATACACTTATAAGAGGTATTACTTGAATGTGATTAGTAGACTATGTCATATCCTCTGCTCTCTCACCAGTTCGATCCTTTGGTACAGAAGACAGACCAACAGATCGTCCAATACCACCTCGAGATGAAGTCTTTGAGTACATAATATTCCGTGGGAGTGATATTAAAGACCTCACTGTTTGTGAGCCTCCAAAACCACAATGTTCTTTGCCTCAGGACCCAGCTATCGTTCAGGTGACTGATAGTAAATTTGTCTTAGAATGCAAATAAATTTGATGTCCATGGCTAGCCTTGGCTTTTGCCTCTCCTGGATTTTTTCTTCAATTGAATATTTATATAGCTTACCATAAATGTTCCCTAGGTAGCTAAAATACCCGGATAATGTTTTCGCCTAGGTTTTTTCCTTTAGATCATAAGGGACTAAACAAAGTAAGAAATAGCTGAGAAATTTATTTTTATCAAAAATATTTTCTAATTTTGAAAACAATTAAAATAACTAATATTTATTGAGGGCCAATTACATGGGAAGCACTGTTCAAACCACTACACGTGTAAGTCTATCCTCACAAACACCCTCTGAGCTCGGTACTATAATTATTCTCATTTTTGCAAGTGAAATTGAAGTAGAGCCACAATTTGAACAGACCCAGGCAGTCTGTCTCTGGAATCCAAAATGCATGCCACTGCATTACTCTCATGTGGTTCATATTACAAACTACGGTGGTGATGGCTACTCTTAATAAGTAAGATTATTAGGTTTAATGAGGACAGGGGGAGCTAAATCATAGTATATATCATATGTTATACATTCAGTGTTATACAAGCATAAAAGAATTTTAACATAAATAGATGTGTGTTCAGTTCCCTAAATAAGGTACTAAAAAAGAAGACCCGTCTACGGCCATGCTACCCTGAATAAGCCCGATCCCATCTGATCTCGGAAGCTAAGCAGGGTCAGGCTTGGTTAGTACTTAGATGGGAGACTACCTAGGAAGACCAGGTGTTGTAGGCGTAAAAAATAAAAAAATAAGGGATTGTAAACTGACAAGGTCCTTGCAATCTGTGAGGTCAACCAATGGATGCCTCACCTTTAAAATAAATAAATAAAAATTTTAAAAAAAATTAAAAAGACTCTAAGTACTCTCAGTAAGGGAAAAAATTTGTGTATTTTATTAAAAACAGAAACACATGATATCTAAAAGATTTTAAATTACGAGTTAAAAAGGATATCCATTACAGTACTTGTTTACATGTTACAGTACTTGTTTACATGGAAGCATGTAGAAACTGAATATTAACTATAACAGCAGAACCTAAGAGTATTTTTACTTGAGGGCAAAGCTGATTAAAAGTTTGTAGCTTCTGATACCATTTTCTTAACCTAGTTTCTTGTTAGAAGTCTTCATTTTAGTCATTTGCACTAAAATATGCTTATTAATTTATCAGTGTAATAGTTTCGAATTAACTTTCCCATTTTTGTACTGTGAACAATAAAATCTTAGTGTTCCACAAAACAGATTCTTAAAATAAGTGTTTTAAGAAATTAAAAAATTAATTTTTAAATTATCTTGCATAGGAATTGTCCAACTTCCAGCTATTAAAATACCTCATGAACTCTTCTAATAAACTAGAGAAATTCTCTACTCTCACTTATCTTTTCCTTTTTAAGTAAGTCTGAAGGAATCCTGAGAAAATCTGAACTTCATAAATGGAAGGAGAAAAGACATTCTAATAGAGATAGCTGCCTACACTTAGGAGTAGTGTTATCTGTCTTATATTTATATATCTTTTGATAAATCTCCAAGAAACCAGTTAATTAAATAATCAGCTTCATTGAATGAGAAAAACCAAGAGAGCACAAATCAAAATGGTGTTGAATAACTTCTTCCAACCACCAAAAATTTTGACTTTTGATTCATTCAGTAGTATTTATTGAACCTCTGCCATGTGCCTGACACCAGCAGTGAGCTTATATTTCTGACAGCTGTTAATATACTTTATATTATAAAATGTTTTATATTAAGCTAAAAATATGTAAAGTTTGTACATTTTAACATATTAAAATGTATTTTAGGTTTAGCAAATTAAAGGTTTTAAAATTTTTCTTTACCTTAATGATAACTATATTTTAAATGTAAATGGTTTTGTATAAGATTATTTCTGTATCTCCTCGTTGTAAATTTAATTGAATACCTCACATGTTTGAAAATAACAGTAAAATCAAAAATGAGATGTCTTAATTATGTCAGCACCAGCCTGAAACTCATAATAACCAAATGTAGTTTTTCTCGTAGTTTTTCTTTAAGCAAAGTTATTTATTCAAGTAACTTTTCATAGTTCTTTCCTAAATATGCTATAAAACTCTTTACTTAAAGAAATTTATTATAGAAAAAAAGTATTTATAATTACATTGAGTATAATTGCAACATTACATTTGACCCTTGAACGAGGGGCTTAGGGGCACCAACACCCAGCCCACTCCACCCCCATGTATAACTTTTGACTCCCCAAAAACTTAACAATAGTCATCTCTTGGCTTCCACAGGGGACTGGTTTCAGGACTTCCTGTGGATACCAAAACTCGTGGATACTCAAGTCCCTTATATAAAGTGCCATAGAACAATATATGCAGTTGGCTCTCTGCATCCTTGGATTCCCAATCGCAGATGGAAAATTTCATCTGCAGTTGGTTGACTCCACAAATGCAAAACCTTGGGATATGGAAGGCCAAGTGTTTATTTATTGATAAAATTCACATATAAGTGGACCCTCACAGTTCAAACCCATGTTTTTCAGGGATCAGTGTATATACAATTAGTGAAATCAGAAGATTATTTAACTGTCGTAATATTAACTGCTTGTTGGAAGTTATTACAACTGCTTTTGCGCTTAGTACTTATAATTTAATAATTTCCTTAAAAATATAAATATCAGAATTTCTTTCCATTATATACATGTTGTTTAGAGCCTGGAAAAATAACCCATGATCTTTCTTCAGTCTTCACTAGGCTCATCTACTTCTTCATTCCAGTCAGTGGGTTCCTATGGACCTTTTGGCAGGATGTCAACCTACAGTCAGTTCAGTCCAAGTTCATTGGTTGGGCAGCAGTTTGGTGCTGTTGGCGTTGGTATGTTCTCTTTTTATTTTCTTTCTTTCTACCACAGATTTTCAAACATACTGTTTGGTGTTTCATTTGTAACCTATTATTTCAAAGGCTTTATTTAATGTCCTTATTGACTAGTAGTACTAAAAAGGTCATCTTTCAGAATAATCACTTTTTTAAAAACCTAGATATATCCAATTACCAGGTTTCTTTGAATGTTACTTTAAATTTACATAAGATATATCCATTTAAAATAAGTATTTTTTCCAACAGGATGGGTTTTCAAAAGGGGGATTGGAGGTAATGCTGTTGTTAATAAGAAATAATAATGCCATTAAGGAGTATTTCTGTTTTGTTTAATGTGGAAGATTATAGCATTTAACAACACCTATGAGAGATACATATATAGCATCTTTGGGGGCTTGGTGCTGTGTTTATTATAGGAGTGGTTTAGAAATATAACACTATAAGAATGTGTAGGAGGGCTGGGCTGATAACAGTTCAACTTATGATTGGAGCAGAAAGGCTATCCATTCTGTGCAAAAACTATAGATATAATCAGATTGATCAGTGTTATTTTGTTTTTATAACTCTACATTTTAGCTCCTGAGTACATCTTTACTGAAATTCCCGCAGTAATGAATAACTTTTTAAATCTCAAATTCTAGCTCTTAATCTTTTTTGGTTCTGTTGAAATAACCATTTATCAATTTACTTTGTTTCACTGAATCATGAATTCACTTTCAAGTGTACCTCGAAACTCAGTATGTTAACAAGTTTTGGTAAAGTTAATTTTTATTTGAATATACTTTTTATATACTTGTAACTTTAAGTAAATGTTTGACTTATTCACAAAATAAAGAAGAGTGAGGGAAAAGTAAATTCCAAAGTTGAATGAATGTAAGCTGAAACAATTAGTGCTAAGTATATATCACATTGATAACAGCCACATAGAAAAAAGAATTAACTCAAGTAACCTTTACACTCTTAGTAGAATACATTGTAAGAACAAATAGAACTATTAAAAAAAACTTGACTTAGGGTTTGTAATTGGTAGTGGTATTTGTGTTAATTTTGAAACTGTTTTGCATGTGTATTGGGATAGGGTAAATTAATATATTGATGTTGGGAACTGGTGTTCTTGCCATGGAAAAGGGAGATACAAGTATGGAATGGGGAAAGATAAGGAAGAACCCTGTGATGTTGAATGTAAATTGGAGGTATGACTTTGAACTCATTTTTTGAAAACTGGTTATTTCCTGACTCTGTTCATAGAAAGGGCCTGGAAGCAGTGATACCCAGTAGAAAAGAACACATGTAGACCCAGTACTCGGTTTCTAAATACCATTCCCCACTAAAAAGAACCTTGAAAAAAGAATGGGAAACAATGCTCTTTTTTAACAGAAAAATGCCTGCTAATAAGTAGAAGGAATGGTAGATATAGAAAATCACTATTTTATAATCTCCAATGTAATAATTCACAGCAAGAATCATCAGGGAATGCTAAAATCATTGGGTGAGTCTCCTGATGTGATGATATGGGAGGTAGGAATACACAACTTCACCTCTGTGGTGCTCTTAATGAAAATGCAGATTTTAAAAGGGGTCAAATTTGTGGTGACAGAAAGAAATCTAACTATGGAAGGTAAACACACACTACAATATATACATATGCCTTATTGTTAAATTGCACACCTGAAACAATGGATTTCCGTAACCAGTGTCTAAATGAATGAATGAATACATGAATGAATGAATGAAATACATGCTACTGAAATCTCACACACACACACAAATAAATAAATGTTACTAAAATCACACACACACGGTGTAGAGCCAGAGAAAGAGCAGTCAGGGAGATCATTTCATAAACTATATAAATGTCTAACCAATGTACTATATACTTGAAACTAATAATAAAATTTTAAAAATATATATGTCCTTTAGATAAGGTTTGTAATTTTTTGTCAAATCTATAATCTTATTGATTGGTGTCTCATCTATCATTTAATAAAAGAAATATCCCCCCCCCAAAAAAAAAAAGAAAAACAAAATGCAGATTCTTATCCTGAAGAAATGGACCATATATATCCAGAGGCCAAATGATTCAGTGTTGTGAAATACGGAGAAAGACAACAGGACTGGTTTAGACTTGGGAAGACTAAAGAGACATAGCATCCAAATATAATACGTGATTGGATCTGGGTTTTGTTTTTGTTTTTTTTAAGTTGATAATAAAGAACATTTTAAGGACTGCTGAGGAACTTTGAGTACAAACTAAATGTTGGATGCTGTTATTGTTGATTTTCTTAAACATGGTAATGGTGTTGTGGTTAACCAGGAAGGAGAATGTCTTTGTTTTGGGGGGATGGTTTTGAAGTATTTAAGGGGGAAGGATCACATTGTTTGTAACCTATCTAGGCAAAAGAAAAGTGTGTATATCAGGATATAAAGAAATGAAACAATAGGCCTAGCAAGATGTTAGCAATTGGTGAGTGTAGATAAGGAATATATCAGTATTTAGGTGTACTCTTTCACTTTTGACATAGGTTTGACATTTTTCAAAGTTAAAAACTAAATATTTAATTCCTTTTAGACTTACTATTCTTGGACCAGTGAAATAGTGTGACTTTGCTTCATGTACCTCTAAAATCTATTCAGATAGTGAAGCCAGAGTTAATTATACTTGTTAAATCCAGATGTACCTTGTTAGCTGTAACTGTTAGAATCCTATTCAGAGGATTCACATAAGGGATAATTGCAAAATACATTATCCTTTTAAGACTTTTCACTGAATCAAGTAGTTGTCTAACATTGGGATTGTTATTGTACTTACTTCCTACATTACTGTGAAGTTTGCATAACTTAATAAGTATAAAGCACTTGAACAAGGTCTAACACTTGGTTTCTACATAGTAAATACTGCTTCTGCCATTCTTCAGAGCCTGCTTCTCTAATCGGGGTATTTTATGGTGGTGAGATATATATTTCTCAGAAATGCTTTTATCTAATTTCAATATGATTAAGGGTGCTGGTTTAGTGTTCCTTGGGTGTCACAAAAGTAAAGGATTTTACTTGTACTTTCTATGTTGATAGGGTAATTTTTGCAGTGGCAGATCCTTTTTGATTGGTTTTCACATTGATAGGATAATTTGTGGAGTGGCTAATTAGAGAACCTGTAGATAATATTTAAGAGTTGTCAAGTGAGGAAGAGGAAAGCTATAGGGTTGATTAAGGTAATAGATGCTTTTTAGAAAAGGAGTTAACTCAAATATAGTTTGTAATGGCACTAATTAAGCCAGATTTTTATCTTTTTCACATATTGTTAGTCTTTTCACAGTTTTATTTGCAATTTATATCATGAAGGGTTAATAACCTTAATATTTACAGAGCTTTTAAAAATAAAGATCTCCAACCCCACAGAAAAAAATAAGTAAGCGTTAGGCACTAACTTTGCCTTTTTCAGAAAAAAAGAAATATGATCCTTAAACATGGGAAATGCTTAAATCTTGCTTATAATAAGATATATACAAATTGCATCTACACCGAGACACCATTTCTCACCATCAGTTTGGCAAAACCAGAAATTTTGATTATATTCTCTTTTGGCCAGGTGGTGGGGAAACAGATACTCTCATACATTGAAAGAAATAATGTACCAGATAGAATCAAAGCACTATTTTTTAAGCTGATGCTAAAATAATTCTTATATGTAAAGATTAGGTCATTATTGACTTTAATTTATTGACTCTTAGGAAAAATTGATTATCTCACAGTAAATCAAGCTGCAAAACAGCCCTGGCATGCTAAGTCTTGTAATACTCTTATGGGCAACATGGAGGAATATTAGCTGAATACAGAGATAAATGGGTATAGTTTAGCTGGTTAAATAGTCAAACCATATTGCACGTTGATTCTCATAAGTCTCCAGTGTTTTATTCAGATTAATTTTAATCACTGAATTTGATGAATGCTTAGAAGGTATGCTTATGAACTTTACAGTTAGCATAAAGCCAGGAGGATACTTCATGCATTAGGGATGACAGACTAAGGATTGTTAAAAGATGTACTTTAGTAAAGTGTAAAGGAATTAAACATTCTGCTTAAAAAGCAGCGATCATCAAACTGAATTTTTAAAAAACAAGATTCAACTGTATGATGTTTATAAGAGATGGACCAAAAGACACAAAGAAAAAAAAAATAGAAAAAGGTATGACATACCATGCAAACACTGATAACAAGAAAACTGTTAAATAAGTGAACATCAGACAACGCAGCTTAAAGATCAGGGGTACTACCAGAGAAAAAGGGATTCTTATAATGACACAAGGGGCAGTTCATCAGGAAGCTATAAATGTGTATGTAACTTTCATAAAATAGTACACCCAGCTATCACAAAATATAGTCCATGAGCAAATCATGGACTGCTTAGTGGGGTAGAGCAAATCCTGGGCCATCGAACAAGTTATAATAAATTCAGAAGGATTGAAAGCATACATGGTATCTTCTCAAACTAAAAAGAAATTAAATTTGGAGTTAATAGATAACTTTAAGATACCCAAATAATTGAAAATTAAGCAAACTTGTAAATTACTAATGAGTCAAAAAAATCATAAGGGAATTTAGAAATTTTTTTTAATGATTTTAAAATGCAACATGTCAAAATTTAAGTGCAGCTTAAGCATTGCTTGGGGAAAATTTTATACCTTTAAGTACATATATTAAAAAACAAGAATGCTTTAAAATCAGCGCCCTACGCTGCCAGCTTAAGAAGCTAGATAAAAGGGGCCTTTTGAGCCATGCTTCTCTTTCTCTCAGGCCCGCTTCCACATCTGGAAGTGTATTTTCTCTTCTAATAAAGCTTTTCGTTTCTGCTGTAAAAAAGAGAGAGAAAGAGAAAAGGAAAAAAAGCTAGATAAAAGGAAAGTTAGCCCAAAAGTAATATAAGGAAGAAAAAAATTTAAAAGCAGAAATCAATGAAATAGAAACAAGCCAAAATATATAGAACATTGACAAAGATGGAAATTAGTTCGTTGAACAGTTCATAACATTAATAAGCCCCTAGCAAGACTGATCAAGAGAAAAAAGAACACCCAAATCAACAATATAAGAAATGAAAGAGAAGACATCGCTATAGATCCTAAAAGAATAATATGAAAATATCAAACAAATTTATGTTAATAAATTTGACATCTTAGGTGAAATAGATTCCTTGAAAAATACAGTCTTCCTAATCCACCACAAGAGGAAATAAAATCTCAATATTCCTATATCTGTTAAAGAAGTTGAAACTGTAGATTGTTTGATTTACTGATAAATTCTACTATTTAGAGAAGAAATAAATAATTTTACCAGTCATACAATAACTTGCAGAGAATAAAGGAAGCGGAACACTTTCTAACCAGATAACCAAGGCAAGCCGAGATCCCAAAATCTAATGATATCATTACAAGAAAAGACAATTAAAGCTCACTCTCTGTCATGAATATATATGTAAAAATCTAACACAGTATTAGCAGTGGAAGCCAGCAATTCATAAGAATACTACATAGTAACAACAGTGAGGTTCATCTCAGGAATGCAAAGGTGTTTTAACATTTGAAAATCATTAGTAATTTACTGCATTAACAAATAAAGGGGGGAAACTACAATCCCAAGAGATACAGAACAGGCATTTGATAAAATTCAACACCCATTTCTCAACAACTAAGGAATGGGAAGGGATATCCTAAAATTGATCAGTGAAATGAAAAACTTACATACATAATGAATGTGTTTCCTTTGAGGTAAAAAATAAAAAAAGGCAAAATTATTTCAGTATTTCATTTAGTGTTGAAGAGGTCCTAGTCAGTTGTATAAAGCAAGAAAAAAATAAAAGATTTGAAGAACAGAAAGGAAGAACTAAAAATGCCTTCATTTGAAGGTAACATGACTTGTGTGCATAGAAAATAAAATGCAAAGGAATATTCAAACCATTAGAATGAATAAGTGAATTTAGCATGATAAGGAGATAACATGGTAAATATATAAAACTCAACTGTATTTTTGTATTCTATGGCAGACAGGTTGGCACACTGTGGTCTATGTACCAAATTCAGCCATCCTCTTGTTTTTGTAAATAAAGTCTTATTGGAACACAGCCACACTCATTTATTTACTTGTTGTCTATGTGTTTTTACACTACAAGGGCAGAGTTGAGTAGTTGGGTCGTATGGCATGAAAAGCCTAAAATATTATATTTACCATCTGACCACTTACAGATAGAGTTTGCTGACAACTGATCTAGAACAGATTATTGGGAAAGGAAATGTAACATGCAGCACAACTTACAGTACCATCAATAACATCAAATACCAGGAATGAAAAAGATACTTTAAAACCTCTGCAAGAATGCTTCTCAATGGAAGGGGATTAATTTTAACCCCCTCTCCTAGGGGATATTTGGTAATATATGGAGACATTTTTGCTTCTCACAACTGGGGGTTACTAGTATCTAGATGCTACTTAACATCTTAGTAGGACTATTCCTCACAACAAATAACTATTTGGCCCAAAATGTCAGTAGTGCCGAAGTTAGGAAAACTGCTCTACAGTGAAAACCATAAAACACTGATGAGAGAAATTCAAGATCTAGATCAATGGAGGGTTAATCTATGCTGATGGGTTGGAAGATTCAATATTTTTAAGGTGACTTTTTCCCCAAAATTTGCAGATTGTACATAACCCCATTAAAATCCCATCAGAAATTTTAAAAATGGAAATTAACATGCTGGTTTTAATATTTATATGGAAATACAAAACCTAAAACAACCAAAACAATTTTGAAGAAGATTTGAGGTTTTTACCCAGTTTCAAGATTTACTATGAAGTTATAGTAATCAGAACAGTGAATTGTTGACAAATACATCAGGAGTAAAGAACAGAGAGTACAGAAATAGACCTACTAAATACCGATTTAAAACAAAGCTGCCAAAGCAGTACAATGAAGAGGAGGAAACCTTTTTAACAAATGATACTGCAGCAGCTGCATGTCTCTTTGGAAAAGAATTAACCTTGAACCCTGTCTCATACTATGCATAAATAATAATTTGAGGTAAGTTTATAGCAGAATTAGGGTGAGGGAGGTGAGTGTGATACGACCAGGAACTCAAAGAAGAGATGAGGATATAGAAGAGTTGGCTAACCAGGGGGCAAACAGTGGGAGGTTGAGTCAGGTGAGGAAACACAGCAGCACGAAGATATGAATGCATATCATCAGAGTGGCTTAGGTCTTGGTCATTGCCCAGAAATACTAGGGATAATGGGATGGATTCAGCTTTCCACAGAATTGAGAGCAGTAGTCCCAACATTTCTGGGGTTGTTATGGGAGGTTATGTTGGGCCTCTCTTGAGCGAGCTGGGGCTGCAGCCTGATGATCATGAGAGTCCCATTAGTCCTCATGTTAGATCCTGTGCTAGTCTCTGATACCCCTATTTTAAGACAGATGTGAACAACTAGAATTCATTAAATTGAAGTGAGGGGCGGTGAATACCATGTGAAGGTGAGTCATGGTTGAAGGAACTACAGTTGCTTGGAAGTGAGAAGATTGTGATGGGCATGATCATAGTCTTCAAATATTTTAAGAATATATGGATAAACTTCTGTAGAGTGTAGACTGGTGAAAATAAGGAGAGGTGAGAGAAGAGGTAGCCAGATAAGGAGAGGGCCATATAAACTGAGGTGCAAGTAGTTTGAACTTTTATCTTGAGGGCCGTTGAAAGCCATCAGAGGGTCCTAAGCATTCTAGTAATGTGATATTTGTATTTCATAAAAGATTATTCTATCATCTTTAGATTGCTAAAGAAAACATAGATTAGTAAGTAAGAAGAGAGCACGGCATATGAAAAGTGAATATTCCCATAAATACTGTAGAAATTTAAAGAAGATTGACATAACCTAGAATATCAAAGAATTGAGCCCTTTCTAAGAATGTGTTTTACTCATATTACCAAAACTTTTGTGGTCACTTTAGACTGAATGCAGCCCCACGATGCCATCCTGAGTGGAAGCATTAAAGTGGACTAGATTCCATGATCTATTGCTTTGGAAATGCGGGGAAAGCACTTCACTAACCTGTCTGCTGCTTCAGCTATCTGTGCAGATACTCTCATGTGGGTCCTTGCTGTCCCATCTGTGTAACTGCCTAGGACAGTACTGCATATGTTAATAAAATGTTTGCACCTAGGATGCTGGAGTCTGTATTGGTTTGCTTTCTTTCTATACAGTATTGTCAGAGATTTCTCCAACTAATTTTTGTTGTGCTTTCATTTATTTCCAAGATTATTAATTAGCACAAGTGTTATAGGGGGCAGTGAAAATCATCATTATTAAAATGGTAAATTATATAATGAAAAGGTTTAAATTTTTTAAAAGATTTTTTTGTCATTAAAAAAAATCTCTTAAAGCTGGAAGCTCTTTGACGTCCTTTGGAACAGAAACATCCAACAGCGGTACCCTGTCCCAAAGTAGTGCAGTCGGCTCTGCCTTTACACAGGAGACAAGATCTCTAAAAACACAGTTATCTCAAGGTAGGCTGTTTCTTCCTTCAGATATTTATATTATAAACTTCTCTAGTGGTTTTTATCTTTCTTTGAATGTAAGAAATTTTGTGGCTTGTAAATCACATGTATAATTTCTTTGTAGTTCTTTTAAAATTTTTCTCCTAATTGCCATTGCATTAAGTAAATTACCGAATGACTTCCACTATTTAGACTTGTACAATTCTTAGATCATAAAACCGAGGCAGTGAACATTCTCTAAGTTTGACATTTTTTTTGCAAAGCAAGTATATAAATTATATATAATACTTAACTATATCGTATTAATCCCAGATTCACCACTGAAGATGAACTTTCCTTACAGCTGAAAAAACAAATTATTCAGTATGCTGTTCTAATTTTCCTAGCATCCTCACAGGATCTAGAGCAGTGGTTCTCAGTTTGGACTACCCACAACTGAATCATCTAGAGTGTTTAAAAATGTAGCTTGTGAAAACTGCTACATCAGAATTCCTAGAGCTTGGGAATCTGTATTTTAATAAGCTTCTTAAACTATCCTGTTTCATTTTTTAAAAATTTATTTATTACCCAGTCTCATAATTGTCAGTGGTCCCAAAATTCCGCATCTATTATTATCTGCTGCCAAAGTAGATGTTACTGTCTTGTTGCTTTATATGGATGTTTACTTTTAAATAAAACAATGTGAAGTCATTTCAGAGGGATAGTATTTTTTAAAGCTATTGAGGGTAAAATCAAGCTAATGCTAAACAATTCTATCTATCTTTAGATATTTTGAAATAGTTGTAGTTATTGTTATTCATAGTGATTTAAAATAACTTAAATTTTAAACATTCTAGTGATTTGTTGTAGATGGATTAGAAGTCCAGTAAGCATAGGAAGAAAATTAAAATACCCAGTCTTGCTAGGGAGAAATAACAAATATTTATATTTTGTTGTGTATACTTCCAGACTTTTTTGTAGGTTAAGTGTATATTTCTGTATATGTATATCGGTTTGTTATTTTACTTTTTAAAGAATTCTGTTTTAGAGAAAATCTTTTTAAGCATTAGTTTTCTAAACTATAAAATGGGACTTTACTGGTAACTAACAGACTTACTGTGAGGATTAAATTTTTTTAATGTAAGCAGTGCCCTTAGCATAGTGCCTCACACATACGTGATCTGTTGATGTTAGTTATCTTAATCAGTAGCCAACATTAACCTTAATATGGAAGCACCAGAAGAATCCTTATTAAAGTCATAAATAAGGGTACTTGTTCTCATCGCTATTCAGCATTGTTCTGGAATTTTTAGCTTAATCAGAAACACATGAAAAAGAAATAAGAGGCATAGATAGTATAGATATCTATAGATATCTAAAGCTAATATTAGAATTAGCATTAGTTGTCAATGCTATAACTGGTTGTAATTGAGAATTCACTGAAAAACCTAGAACTAATAAGGGACTTAAATTAGAGGTAAAATGTAAAGTCAATGTACAAAAATCAATAGCTCTAAAACTTAACCCACTAATTATGTAATGGGGTAAGAGATGTTCACAATACTGAGAAATAGAAATTATATATAAATCATGCTAAGTGATATAAGCCAGACAGAAAAAGTTGAAAATCACATGATACACTTATATGTGGGATATAAACCTAAAAGCAACAAATGAGCAGGACAAACAGAGACTCGTGGACATGGACAATAGACTAGTGGTTACTAGAGGGGATGGGGGCGTGGGGGGGGTAGGTAGATGGGGTAAAAGAAGTCAAATGTGTAGTGACAGAAAGAAATATAACTATGAGAAGTGAACACACTGTAAATATACATATGTCTTACTATTAAAACATACAGCTGAAACTTACTGGATTTCGTTAACCAGTGTCACCATAAAAAAATAAATTTAAAATAATAATAATAAATTAGCTGGTAAAATCAAAAAAATTATATATGAAATACATAAGAAGAAACATGAACACTGATGAAAATACAAAATGTCATAAAATATAATAAAATATAATATAGTCAGAAACATTTTATTCCTAGATAAAAAGAAAGTATTATAAAGAAGCAAAGTATTATAAAGAAGTAAAGCTTTACTTCTCGTATTAAATTGATTGTACTTTCAATAAATCCAAATCAAGTGGTATAAGAACTTAATAAAACATATACAAACTATCTTAAAAATACATGCGGAAGTATAGTTAGACATGTGAAAAATAAAAGTAATCTGATAGGGCTTTCCTACTCAATAATAAAGTATGCATAAAATAAAGCAGTGTAGGAATGAATTTAGAAGTGAATGGAACAAAAGTCAGGAACAAACCCAAGTATTAATAAGTAATTAGCATATGATAAAGATACTATTTTTAAATTAGAGAAAGGCTAGCAATGCAGTAAATGATGTTGGAACAGACAACTGCTTGATCATTTGAGGAAAATGACTAGATTTCTTCCCTCATACTTAGAACTAAACTAAATTTTAAATAATATTTAAAACATTTTAAGTACATATTTATTAGAAGAAAATTATATGTATAAAGTAATGGCAGAGAAGACCTGTGAATCTGCATTTTAATTTAGCCAACTAAAATTTTCTGAATTTTACAAAATTAAAACACCTAGGATTTTCTTTTAATTGTGTTAAGAATGTTAAGCTAGCTCAAAGGGTATGTTTTTACTATATTGAAATAGATTTTGTTTATTCCTAATAATATGTTTAGTATTGCCTATATTCTCCTATTTATAACAAAATTGACATCATGACTAGTTGACTTCAATTACAAAGGTTTTTAAAGTACGCAAATGAGTTGTTACTTGCTGTGATTGCCCTGTTAGTTGTGGTTCTGCAATAGTTGTGAGTCATAGGATCTTTTCTCAAAGAAAAGCCTGAAGTAAATTTTATGAACTTTAATAAGATTATTTAATGTAGTATTGTAAAACTAACTAAACTAGTCTTTTCAAAAAACTTAACACTCGTTTTATAAATTAAATTTCTTTATAAGGTGATAGTGATTACAAAATATCTTATTAGCCAAAACTTACATAAACCACCATGATTTCCCATTATAATAAATGCGGAAATTACAGTGTTTCTATTAATGGCCAAGTAAAATTTGGCATTAATGGCTGGAAATGGAAATACACATTTGCAGATGTGTACTTTAGATAACCATGAACTTGGGGACTATTACTAATAAATGGTCCCTGAATCATCTGGTGCACAACCACCAATGCTTTGTCAGCACTCACCAGTACTCCAGTTGTTTGGAGCCTGTGCAAATATGCACAGGTGGGCAGTGACATTTTCAGCATTTGGGGGATTTTTTTTTTTTTTTTTTTTTTTAACATGAAATGAGCATAATTTTTTAAAGCAAAACATTTTGGTACAATATCATGCGACATGAGAGCACCTTGAACCAGAGATTTACCGCAAACATTGTAGGGACAAAAAGTATGATGAGGACACCCAGTGTTATATTCTTCTGTTTATACTGTGAGCAGGTGTTAGCCTCATAAAAGGAAAATCGGAATTTATAAGTACAAAGCCTATATTGAGCAAAATCTTCCCAAGAAATCTGTCAAATGGCAAGGAATAAGTATCGCTACTGTGTTATGATCTGAAGGGTGTTATTTGATGCTGGCTTTTTAGTGTTAATGTTTAATTACCCAAGCCCACACAGTGTTGAAGAACTTCACCTAATTTTTTAATTCTTTATTTCCTTCATAAAAGAAATTTAATGGAGATAATACCTATATATGTATAAAGTTATCACTTTAGACATATCTTTAGAATGTACTAAAAATGTTAAAAGCCTCTGGAAGTGATGGCTAAAGTTATCAATAGAATCTTATGGTTGTTGTTACTGGAGAAAGCCTGCATCTGACCCACAGCACAATCTTAGATAATATTCCTGGGGAATCTTGTACCAGACAGCAATTTTGAAAAACTTATTTTTAAACCTTATTTCACTAGGTGGAAATACAGATAAAATTCCAGAGTTTTGTTTGTTTGTTTGGGGTTTTTTGTTTGGGAATTCTTTTGTTTTTACCCCTGTGACCAACCCGCTAAAGATAATTAGTTTTAAATTCTGGTCTAATAAGTAGATGAATTCAAATTTGTGCTAAGGATTTGAATTGCTAGAAATAAAACTAGATTTTTTTTAGGGTCTAGGTTATTTTTAAATCCCCAAAAGATAGGGTAGTTTCTTATCTTTTGGTTACGTTTTAGGTCGTTCAAGCCCTCAGTTAGACCCTTTGAGAAAAAGCCCAACCATGGAACAAGCAGTACAGACCGCCTCGGCCCACTTACCTGCTCCAGCACCTGTTGGGAGAAGGAGCCCTGTATCAACCAGGCCTTTACCATCTACCAGCCAAAAAGCAATAGAGAATCAAGAGCACAGGCGAGGTAGAAATTTAGCTATTTACTATTCCTTAATTGACTCATCGACATTTTCCATTCACCTTATTTTCATTAAAAAGATATACTTTATATGAATGATCCTAGAAGGTTTAAACTGAACTTAATAGAATGTACAGTCTGTCAAATCTGGCTCAAAGTAGTGATGGTGGTGGGGGTATAGATTTTGGGGGGTTTGTTTTGGGGTTTTTTTCCCCCTCATTTCTAACTTTACAGAAGTTGTTGATTATGTCTTAATTTGTCACTTTATATGTCTTCTATAGCTGAAGTACACAAAGTTTCAAGACCAGAAAATGAGCAACTCAGAAATGACAGCAAGAGACAAATAGGTGAGTTACTTGGATCTGAAAGCCATATTTTATGCTTCTCAATAGAACATTTGAAATGTGAGGTACATATTTACTATAAAAAAAATGGCAGGGGTTGGTGACTTATATAAAGAGGAATTTCACTGTAGTAAGAGAACAATTTTTTATCTTATTTTTTTGGTGGTAGTTGTGCAGATCTATGTATGTGGCAGAATGTCATAAAACTGTACATAAAGACTACCAAAAAATGAGTACATGCAAAAACTGTTGAAATCTGAACAAGATCTATAGTGTACATTATATTGTGCCAGGGTCAATTTCCTGGTTTTATTAATGTACAGTAGTTAACTAAAATGTTAGCTTTCGAGAGGAGACTGGGTGGGTGATGGGCATGTAAGACCACTCTGTAATATTCTTTCAGGTTTTTTGTGTATGTGTAATTATTTTTAAAGTTTTTTTTAATCATCATTACATTTCTGGAATAAACTTTATTTGATGGTAAGTGATTGTCTTTTAATATATTCTTGAATGTTATCTGCTAGTAGGATTTGTACACATTGTATGGCTTCTTCTTTTGTACTTCTTTATGTTTTTCAGTTTCATGTTATAAAATTGTTTTCATTGTTTTCTGTGCTTTTAAGAATGGAGTTATCTGTACCTTAAAATTTTGAAGTTTTTTTATTAAAATAGCCCTGAGCCCTTTTTGAAGTATATTCAAGAACTTTAACTTTCTTTCATTATTATTGATTTAATAAGATTTTATACTTTATCTGTTTTGTAATCGGTAATACCCCAAATTCATTCATTTTGTTAATATTTTCTAACTTATTAGCAGAGGATAAATTATAATTTAAAACTTTTCCAAATTAAAAAATAAAGGCAATATAATCGCCTGTAATCACCTTACTTAGATAATAATTGGAAAGTGGTCTTTCACTTAATTTTTGAAAGATAGATATATTTTAAATGTTTAAACACTTCATTTGTCCTGTACATTTTTATATGTGCTATGTGCCAAAGGGTACATAATTTCTGGTTTGATTTAGTATCTTTCACTGCCCTTTGAAATTCATCCCCCAGAGGTTCATTAACAACAGTGGATATTCTTATAGATTTTTTTCCTTTTACAGATATAGACTATGCTTAACTTTTTTTTAAAAAGACAGAAAGGTTACACTTTACTTCCTGGCTTGTGGCCAAGGCATTTTTAATAGTAAAGTTTAATGTGTTAGACCTCCTGTTTATCTAGATTTAAGTGTCTGGATATGCTGTGGTAGGTTTTTGTGGTTCGTTGTCTCAAACTCTTACAGTTTGCCAAACTTTAGTGAACACAAACCTGTTACTCTGTAGTCACTTCTGACCTTTGTCACTATATATTAAACATTACACATAATTATAATCATAGAATTCATACTGCATTGTGCTCTGTATGTTTCTGTTAATTCACATCTAATACTATCCTATATTCCTCTTTTGTTTTTTTCTTAACTATTAGTCTTGCGTTGGATATTTGGGTTCTCAGGTTTTCACTATAATTCGTGCAGCTTTGGTACTGCTTTATCATACCTTATAAATCCTGTCATTGTGTATTGTAGAGAAAGAATAGCTACAGGAAGACTTGAATAATATGGTTTCATTTAGAGGAAGATGATAAAGAGGGAGTGGGAAGTGGTTAGAGTGGTTGACACCTGGTGCTTCTTGTCTTGTGCTATCGTGATGAGGAAATAACACCTCCTTCCTTGCAGTTTGTTCTGATTAGTGTTCATTTATTTATCTTACTATAAATATTGGTTCCTGTGATCCTTTCTGTAAAAGGCTTCCTAAATTTTGAAAGCCTACTATGTGTTTGACACTTTATAAGTATAAGGGATTTGAGCAAAAGAAAGACCCTACCCTCAGGAAGGACATAGCAATTTAGAACAGAAGTCTCCCAGATTGTTTGGTTGTATACATATATGAGTGTATGTATACATATAAATTTAATTTGGGCTATTTGTAAATTTTATGCATGCTATTGTTAGTCTATTATATATTGTTAGGGAAACTTCATTTCTTTTTTATATAAAAAATACAAATATAGTAATATGTAGATACTTATAAGCATTTCTGTTGTTGACTGCTATAAAAACCACAATAATGGCTTCTGTCCAAAACCAGCTTATTCTTTTTTATTAACATAGTTCCAGGTGCTTCTTCAGCTCCAAGGAGAGGGCGTGGGGGTCATCGAGGTGGCAGGGGAAGATTCGGTATTCGACGAGATGGTCCTATGAAATTTGAGAAAGACTTTGACTTCGAAAGTGCAAATGCACAATTTAACAAAGAAGAAATCGACAGAGAGTTTCATAATAAACTTAAATTGAAAGGTGAATTTTCATTTTTCGACTCAGAAATTACTTTTATTTATTTGAATTACCAGAGTTTAGTACAAGTCTTGACTTTTGTGGTATGTGCTTGTTTTTCATTAGAAGATAAACTTGAGAAACAGGAGAAGCCTGTAAATGGTGAAGATAAAGGAGACTCAGGAGTTGATACCCAAAACAGTGAAGGAAATGCAGATGAAGAAGATCCACTTGGACCTAATTGCTATTATGACAAAACTAAGTCCTTCTTTGATAATATTTCCTGTGATGACAATAGGTACAGTTTTCTAAGCTGCTCTTAAGCTCTTAGGAAGTTGACATGTGGAGTGATTTCTTATAAATTCAGAGTTTAATGAATACTTAAAAATACATAATGGCTTCATTTTTTAATGTTTTATTTTGCTAAAAGAAAATAATTATACTAAAATTTTAAAAGATATTATTCCTTAAAAAGAAGAAATAGCCATATGCTTTTGTTTAGGGTTGCATTCACAAATATAGAGGACAATCTGTGGCCAGAGGGGTGGGGGTTAAGGGACTGGGAGAAATGGGTGAAGGATTGGAGAAGTACAAACTAGTAGTTGATAGGCGGTCACAGAGATGGGGAGCAGGGCATAGGGAATGCAGTCAGCAGTAATGTAATGGCTCTGTGTAGAGCCAGAGAGGTGATAGAGTAATTGGGGGGATCATTTCATAAACTGTATAAATGGCTAACCAATGTACTGTATACTTGAAACTATTAATAAAATGCTAAAAAACTTCACATTTGAAATAAATAGTTAAACATTCATCTAACATCTAAATAACACCTTTTACTTTACCTTTCTACAATGTAGTTCAAATAAAGTCAGGGCCAAAAGTGCTAATGTTGCATTTGAAGTTTGCTGATACAGTAAAACTCTGCCACACTTCAGTAAATGTGGATCCAGGAAAGTGTCAGGTTAATTTAATTAAAAGACCCAACATAACGCACTAAAGAGTTCCCGGGTTTCTGCTGCCTAATACAAATTGTCCTCCTGGCTGCAGTTTAGTGCCACCTGGTGGCAGTTGTCTACTTCACTTTAAACATAGGTGGGAATGATTGTGAGCCCTGTGATCGTCTGGGCTCTAGGACAGCAGCAGCGCACCGGTTCAGTCCTGATGCTTTAGGCATCAGGTCCAGGGATTGGGCCAGGATCATACTGGGGACTCAGGGCTGCCCTTCTCCTCCTCCCAGTGTCCTGAGACTGGGTTTCCTTCCCTGGCTTTGCCTTCTCTTCCACTGAGGTTAAGTGGAGGGTGGCGTTACTTGCCAATATCATTATATCTGAATCCCTATTATATTGGAGCTGCTATCGTGTTCCTTGGTTTTGTCAACTGTATTTGCAAGAATCTAATATCAGTCATATTTTCACATGAAATTTAACAGACTATTATAGGAACGTATTACCATGGACAGCTTGTGGTAACTTAGACAAGGCACTTATTTTTATTTGATCTATAGTAATTATTTAGCCTTAATTTGAAAATTAGTGCTACATAGTTTTGCTAAAACTTGATATAGATTACTTATTTTTATAACAGAGAACGGAGACCAACCTGGGCTGAAGAAAGAAGATTAAATGCTGAAACATTTGGAATCCCACTTCGTCCTAACCGTGGCCGTGGAGGGTACAGAGGCAGAGGAGGTCTTGGTTTCCGTGGTGGCCGAGGGCGTGGTGGTGGCAGAGGTGGTACCTTCACCACCCCTCGAGGATTTCGTGGTGGATTCAGAGGAGGTCGTGGAGGCAGGGAGTTTGCAGATTTTGAATATAGGGTAAGTATTACATGTTTTTCATAAAACTCAAAATGTTTTTACTTTTATTTTGGGTAAATATCTTTAGGTCATTTGTATAACTTTCATTTTGATCTAATTAGGATATTGATGTAATTTTAAGGAGCAGTAACTACTTGGCTATTAAATCCAACTTTTTTTTAAAAAACTCAGTTGGAGGAATTAAGGGATAGAAATGAGATATTTTTTACCTTTTTATTATAGAACCATGATTTTAGATTTCAAGGTCTGGTAAAATTTTTCCCAAAAAAAAACTATTAGAGATTGACTTAGGGTTATTTCTTTTTTTTATTTCCTCTTTTTAAATTATTTTTTATTGTTGGAGACACGGGGAATCACTAAAGGCATTATTTTAAAAATGATTATAGCAGTTAACATGTATAATATTGCATGTAGTAGGCATTGTTCTAAATGTTTTTCACATATTAACTTAAACCTTACTCAGTGGCATAAGTTCTTTTTTTTAATTCTCACTTTACAAATGAGGAATTATGTAAACAAATATTAAATAACTTGTCCTAGATCAGCTAGTAAGTGATGATGCTGGGTCTTGGACCTAGTAAATTTGTTCCTGAGTCAGTGCTCTTAATTTAGTTTTAGGAAAACTCAACGACATTTTCCCTGGTTTTCTTATTTTGCTCTGGTCTTGGAAAATCTCATGATATATTGACATTTAGGAACCTCTGCTAGAAAATTGTATAGATCTGTATAGTATGTTTATATGTGTTATTTATTTAAAGGAGTCTATAAATTAAGTCAGTGTCACTATCCTAGTTTATTGATTTTCAGGGCAAGTAGAGAGGAAGGTATATAATCACAGAAAGGATCAAAATCTCCACATAAAGAGGTCTGCTCAGAATTGCAAAGAGCAGCTGGAACCATAAAGATGTACTTGCAGAAATTGCATGGTCCAGTATTTAAAATTGGCCATTGTTGAGATCCCCTCTTGAAGTATCAGTGTTGGTGGCTTTTAGGTCTGGTCTGTTCATTTTGATGCCTTTGATATTGTCTCATCACAGTCAAGATTGCTGAAAATTAGCCTCAAGTCATTAGATCAGACTGTCTAGCCATGGTGGCCTGGTGGAGCTTCAGGACTTCTAACTTGCAAAATTGCCATTCCATCTGGGACACTATGTCTTAGTAACTGGAAAATGCCTTTTACTTGTCACTGTTACTGCTCTTATTACTGTCCCTGTCAGTGACATTTTGCTTACACAATTCAGTAACTTTTTCACAAATATTTGCCCTTATCCTCCTCTGTAGTATTTGACATTGATGACCACCCACCAAACTTGGAGTTTGTTTTTTAATACTCTTAACATTTTTTTATACAATCAACACATGTTCCTCAACACAGCATATAAGGCGCTTCATGATCTGCCTGCTTCTCCAGGCTAGGAGTCTAGTGCTGTCTCTAGTCCTTTTGCTAGTGAGACTCCCTTTTATTCATTTACTCTGCCACAGATATGTAGGCCCTCTTCCTCTTGTTTAGTGACAAGCTTATTCCTATCTCAGGACCTTTTTACCCCATCCTTCTGCTTGGAACATTCACTTTACTGCTTCTTGCAAGTACTCACATTTGTGTTTGCACTCCCAGATGTGCTTAAGCGTGTCTGTGTGCACTCACACATGCATGTTCACGTATTTCTCTTTTTCTCTTTCACTACCCCTTCCTCCCTGTCCTTTCCCCCTTCCCTTTGTGAGCATGTCAGTTCATAGCCTCTGACCAGTTTTTCAGCCTGGATCTTGTTTGCTTCCACCTATATTTCTCTATCTTCACCTGCTTTGTGTTCTGTGATCAATTTCAACTTAACCTTCCTCAGAATGACCTCATCGTCATCTTGCCTTCGCATCATCTCAGCCTCTTCTGAGTGTTTGCATTGGCTAATAGTATACCTTTCTTTTTGTGTCCCGGATGGTGAAGGTATCCATGTCATGGCCTTATAATTTCTATATCACCGCATTCATTCCTTTGACATGTCCCTGCCAGCTATCACAGTAACCCATAGATTGGTCTCCAGACTTTCAGCCTCCCTTTACCTCGCTTCAGGCATATCAGCTACCTATTGAAGAACCTCTGACAACTCCATGTTGAAAATTACATTGAAGCAGTTTGGTTTGAGGGAAAGTACATTTAAATTAGACTTGAGTCCCAATGAGAATTTTAGTAATCGTTGCTAGTATGACCTCAGTTGAGTCATTAAACCTTTCAGGCCCTCAGTTTTGACATTTGTGGGAAGCAAGTTGCACAGTTTTATCTCAGATATGCCTTTTAATGATCATTGAAGTCTGAGAGTTGGAAAGCATCTGAGAGGCCTGACCTCCTGGCCAAACTGTAAACCTCTTCTGTAGTGACCCTTTCAGGAGCTGGGGGCCTACTCTTCCCAAGAGCATCCATCCCAGCCAAGGGATGCTCTAATTATTTGGATTTCACAGACATAACACACAATTTGAGTGAAAATCTTTTTCCCTATGACTTCAAACTATTAGTTTAACTCTACCCTTTCAAACATACAGAATATGCATATTCTTCATAATTTTTAAGATATTTGAAAAAATAGCTTTCATGTCTGTAGAAGACTGGACTGTTACTTCACTTTACCTAATCTTTAAGTAACCACTGGGTGCATGGTACATGTACTTATTGATGCAAACATTTATTTTGAGGCTATGTCTCACTGTTCAGTAATTTTAAGCCTTTAGTTAAAAACCTCTATCACATATATTGCAGAATTACAATGCATCATAGAGGTCGTCTGCATGAGTCTTTATCTGCAAGTATATCCCTGACAGTCGAAACTCTGGCTGAGTGTTTCAAGGAGTGATAGATTCACTGGCCCTTCTGACGTTGCCCTGGTGGTTAAAAGGTTCTGTGACGCTGCACTGCCTCCTCTTCTTACAAGGGTCCCCCTTGATATATCTAGCCCCATTTCTCATTACTGTTTAACTTGCTTGATTTAAGCAAGTTGACTCATGGTCACCTCTTATGCACACTGTGCTTGATTCCAACTCTAACCTCGTTCGTTGACCAAGTATATTGAATTCTTCCTGTATGCTAAGCACATGCTGGGCATTGGTGGTAAGCAGAACAGACGCAGTCCCAGCCTTCTCATAGTCCGACAGGAAGTTAGACACCACTAAAAGGCAGGGCTCCCTTCACTTACCCTTCACAGTCTTGCGCAAGGGTTTCTCTATCCTTAGAAACTTCTCTTCCTTCTTCCACTGATCATCTTTTTCTCACCTTCTGTGGTATCTGCTTTCATCAGCATACATTTTACATGTGTTTTGTTTTGTTCCCTATTGCCAACTAGATGGAAGCCTCTTGGCATTAATGAATATGTATTCTGCTTTTCTTTCCACCAAAACACCTTGCCCAGCATGGAGCCATAATGGGCTTGAAGCAAGTGCTTAACATGTTGATTAGGAATGCGCTACTTTAGCCTTCAGTGAGGCCTAAGGGCCATCAGTGTGGCTAGCCCTTGATTGTCCATTTCAAAGTTGAATGGACCCTTCTGTCTGCGGTTAGAGCCCGACCTTCTCAGCAGCCTGTGCCTTCTAAATCGAACCATCTGGCACCTTTAAAGGTAGAAATAATGAGTGATTGCTATACTAAAGGAGATTTACCTTCAGGGATTAAGCTCATTTCTGAAACAACATCTAATAACTTCTCAGAGGTGGATGTCGGTGGCATTTGCAGCATTGTTCACGTAATGGTTGGCTTTGTTCTTTGTGGTCTCTCGGCATGAATCGTTACAGTTTTGGAGTGAGCATAAGCAATTTGGTTGTTTAATGAAAACATGGGTAAGATAGGATCATCGAGTTTTAGAACTCTTTAAAAATACCAGCCAAACTAGAAGCTTTCTCCCAGCCTACCCCCAATACATAGGACCCAGACAGGCTAACCGTCTTGATTCTGGGTATAAGCTAATAAAGGCAAAACTTACTCTCTTTGACTTCCAGCCCAATTTTCCTTAAGGATAATATTAGAAACACAAAGTTGTGGTGAGTTTGGTCCTATGGTGCATTCTTTTTCTTTTTCTTTTTTTGTGGGGGGGGTGGGAATGGGGAGCAGGCAAAGAATAATAAGTGGGCAGCCAGCTATTTTATATGTTGCTGCTAAGAGGTTAAGCCACCAGGGTGGATGAGACAGATTGCTTTCCATTTAAGTCTGTGTTCCTTCAGAGAGGGTCCAGAGACAATGAGACGTCCAAAGTGACTCAGCATGGTTCTCTCTCCTTTCCACCCCTCTTTTCCTCTACCTGTCTGCCCCTCTTCCCTTCTCTCTTCTCATTTCCATCTCTCCCTCTCTTGCTGCCTTTTTTTTTTTTTTTTAACCTTTCAGAAAACCACAGCTTTTGGACCCTAAAAGGTCTGGATTGATTGAACAGCTTTCTGAAAGGTTAAAAAAAAAAATGGGCATATGAAGGTTGGCTTCGATGGGGAACGGCAGACAGCAAGATCATCTTCAGCTTATTTCTTTCTGCACCAATTTACACCATGCCACGTGTATTCTAATTTAATAACATTGTACGAATGGTTTGGTGTTGTATACACACAGATAAAGTTGAGATTAACATAGGAAGTGTGTATTTCTAATGGTGAGCATCAGCAGAAAAAGATATGTGTAGCAGGTAGTCTGAGGAAAATGGCCTTTAGTTTAGGGTTAGTCTCTCTGGAAAGCTACAGGCTCCCTGAGATTTTTACTGCTTTCTCCCTGGTTACTTTTTTATATTTCCCAGTCAACTCTGTGATTTTTAGAATTTATTTCAAACTTAAAAGTTATCCTTTAAAATTAATTTCTAAATCATTGCTTTCTTCTGGCATAAAACTTTGGAGAGAAATGTTATTTTACTGTCTGGATATTTTATTACCGAGTAAAGACGTCAAAGACTTAGGGATTTTATTAATCTTCTTCCAAAATATATTGTTGGTTGTATTTGATGAGTTTGACGGACTAGTATGTTGTTTTTAAAGATTATTTGGATGGCAGTCAAAGATGGTGGGGTATGCCTGTATCTTAAGTAGGCCTTCTTGCTGGGACCAGCCTAACTCACAACACCACTGCTTTAAACTCCACCAAGTAGAAAAATGCACTTAACAAATAATGAGCTCCTACAGGGAGTGGAAGTAGTAAAAAGTGTTTCCTAGAAATCAGTGGTACAGATTTGTACATAAAAGTAAAAGATAGGTATGTTTAAAGGTAGTGGAAAATAAACTGAAGCGGATTAAAAAGAAATATTTATTAATTAACCAATAATCTGACACATGAGCTAATTTTTCTTTCCTTTTTAGAAAGACAACAAAGTTGCCGCGTAGTCTACAAACAAGTCTTTGAAGATAGGTGAATTTCTAGCTCTTCATGGTCCTGAGAGTTGGTTTCAGTCTTTACCAAGAATGAAGAAGTGAATTTGCTGTATATTTGTCACCAGCACTGGGTTTTTTTGTTTGTTTTTCTGCTTAATTTCAAAGATACGATGCAGTTACATTGGGGGCGGGGGGATGGCTCGTCTTTAAAAATGAGCATTAAATATATTTGGAATAGCAGAAGGTTAAGTAATTCTTATGTATAATTAAACTAAAGCAGTACTTCAATGGGACTTATAAGTATTTTTTCATCACTGAAAGGATTTTTCTTATCACTAAATTGTATTTGGCAATTATTGCAAGTTGCCTGCAGATAGGGCCGTGATACTGTGTTTTGAGGGTTTTGTGTGTGTGTGTGTGTGTGTGCGTGTGTGTGTGTGTCTTTTGCCCTTTCTTTTTGGAAATCCTGTAATATTCTTTTTGAGGTAGCTTATTTCGTCATTTAGGGTGCTGGATGGTAGAGAATTTTGTCAGTCAGCTCTGTACACACAGTAAATACTGTTTCTTAGGCAAAGGTAACTTTTTTATATAGTTGTAAAATTCCATTATATTCCATTGCCAAAGAAACATTAAGAACTTTGTATAGCTGTATAAAAAGCAACTAATTTTTTAAAGAATAAACATTTTAAAGTCAGCAAACATAATGTGTCCTTGCAAAAGTTGATGTGCTGAGGAGCAGAGCTATGGGTGGGTCTTTTTTTCATAGCTTTCCAGGCTTAAGTTTTTTGTGTTTTTTTTTTTAACATTTGGAACACAAATGAAGATTTGATACATTCTTTCATTATCTAAAAAGAATAAATTACTCATGCTCATTGTAAGAACTTCATTTTGTTGTAAATGGCATATCACAGAATTCGTCCAAATAATAGATATTTTCAGTATATGAATGTAAATAATCATAGATAAGAATGTACTTAACTGTATTTTCAAATAAGTACCCCCCCCCCTTTTTAAGACAATAAAACTAGGCATCAATTAACCTCTTCTTCCTGATACGCCTGGAATTTTGTCAGGATGAGTTGACTCATTCCATTAATTTCAAGAGGATTCAGCGTGTTAGAATTTATTTTGGCAACCTATGATATATCATAACACTGGTCCTTGGGCCTATGACCCACAAATGGCTCAGTATAGAGTTCATTGCTAATTATAAATTACTAGTAAATCTTTTTGATATTTTAAGCTATAGGGGGGGGAAATCTGGCCACTTTTGTGTTTTTGTGAAGGCCATGGAGTAAAGGGATCCAAAGATTTAAATATTTTTATCTCTTGATTTTTGTTAACTTTCTCCTTAAACTATTCAGTAGTGATAAAGATATGGAAAACTGCACTGTAGGAGAATTGGAATATTTAAAGATGGTTGATATTTTTAAGTTTAATTTTATATCTTTTGTATAGCTCTACAAGAAAATGTTTTGTAATTTGGTTTCATTATTAAGTTTCAGTACTTGGCAGCCATAATTTAGATAATATTGTTTAATACTGTTTGCTTGCATGTTAACAACAAAACCTTTCGGAGGACCCACAAATCATGATATTGAACACATTTCTGAGCCATTCTGAACATCAAAGCAAGTGCTATGGCAATACCTATGTAGACTGTTGGAGATGTCCTGGGCTGATTTCAAGAAGAAAAACTGTAAATACCAGTTCTACATGCTCTGAAAGTATGAATTCATGCGTTTTCCAAGCCGTCTGGGTCACCGACTAGGGCATTTAGTGCCCCAATAATAACTGGCAGCATGGCATACCTGCAGTGCACCTTAAATATTAAAGCAAGGTTTTTGTTCTGAGACAGAATAAAATTCTTCAATAAAAAAATGTTTGTCAAAGTTCTTTCTCTTTAAACAGTAATATTTTCTTAATAGAAAGAAGCATAATGAGGCATCTTTAAAATGTCAGAGTGGACTTATGGTCATGTTTATATTTCTTAAAATAACTAGATTAATTTCTCTTTTTCTGAGATTTATTTCTTGTTGTAGATGTTTAGGTAAAGGTAGAAAGCCCCTTTCTCCCCCTCTAGAGTACAAACCACACCAAAGTTAAAATCTGGGTCATGAGGAGACAGCCAGGGACATATCATGCTGGCACGTGCCCTCTGTAGGCAGGCAGGTACAGAAGAGGGGAGAGGGGCTGACTTCTAAATTCACCTTTTGAGTAGAGCATTTCTCCCTCCAAAAGCAGGACTTAATGTGATGGGCTGGAAGAGAGTTTAGGAATGTTAACCCAGCTCAGTGGCTCATAATCAGGGGTTGAACTGACATCCTGGGAACATTTAAGAATGTGAGAGGATGTATTTTTGGTTGTCACAGTGACAAGGGACCAGCGCTGGCATTTAAGAGTAAGGGTCAGAGATAGTAAAATTCCTACACTCAGCAGGACATTGCCACGTAATCTGTTATCCAACCCAAAATGTAGCAGTGGCCCTTCCACTTTGAGAAATAATAACTGAATATCCTCCACATGGAAAGTGAGTGGGGAATTAATTTTTCCCTCCCCAGGTTTTCAAAAACACTAACCTTACTTGACATGGGACATGGAAAGACAGGTATGAAGGAACCTTACTTCCAGTAGCACTGTTAGCATTTTGGAAACCCATTACCATTCCATCTAGTTGTCTCTTGGTGGTTCACAGATCTTATCAGAATCATTCGAGGAGCATTTTTTTTTTTTATAAAGTACAAATTCCCATGCCCCACACCTAGCGAGTCTGATTCTGAAGTTCTGTGGTGGGGCCCAGGAATCACTCTTAAGTTGCACAAGATAGTTCTGATTGATTAGCCAAGTTGAGAGAGTTTCAAAGCATCACAGCTGGTTAATCTAATCTAACCCCCTTCTTTATGGCCCTTGGTGAAGTGTTCTCAGTAGGATTACTTTTTCATTTCCTAACCTTCCAAATCCAATACATCCAGGTTCTGTTGGGCACAAAGAGAAGGAAAGGACTAAGTGGAAGGGGGTGCATTTCTGCAGGACAGAATCTGGGGGAAACGGGGAGATTGAGACTTAAGTTTCCTCCAGGGGTTGGCTGCTGTGAGTAAAGAGTTTTTTATTTCTAGCATACAGGAAATGGGTGTGTGTTGTGTCTGTGTCTCAATTTTACATGGCTGTTGTCCCTGCCTCTGGGTTATCTGCCTGAAAGAGAAGCTGCTCCTGCAAGCCCGTGTTCACGGCTCAGATCTAATCATGTCTGGATTTAGTGTTGCTAGATACTCTGGCCCTAGTAGTTTAGAAACCATAAGCTGGTTTAAACTGACAGTGGGGAGAGTGTCACAGTATAAGGTGAACTCTTATTAAAGGAACTCAAATGTCGCCAATCTGCTTAGCTTACCTGTTTTGACTTTTTTAAAGATGACGGGTATTAATACAATTGGAATCAAACTTAGAGAAGTAAAGTAGCACCATTAATCCCTGAATCTGAGGAAGTTAAGTGAGATTTGATCAGAGCAGGCTGCCTTAGGCTTCTCCCAAGATGGAGACACAAGAACGACTTGGAAGAACTATCTCTTGAGTACGAGTTCATCAAGTGAAGAAGTAAGGGAGAGTATAGCTTTGAGCAGCAGAAGCTTAGAGAGACCAGTGGCAGCTAAGGATATAGGTCTCAGTCACTGCTCAAGGGGTAATCCCGGACTTCTGAGGAAGAGTGATGGAAAGGTTTTTATCCTGTTTTCCAGAAACAGTGTTAGTAAAAGCAAGCTTGTGGTTTTGAGACATTTATAGATCTGGCTCCAAGAGCACGTGGTAAGACTATGAATCTAATGTGGTTTCTGTTCTCCATGTGGTGTAGAGCTGTGAGCCAATGGTATGGGTGTCTTTTCAATTCCAGTGGGGTTCATGTTTAACAAACTTGGCTGACTGATAAAAATATTCTCAGAATTAGCTCATAAACATATCAAAATAGACCTGAATCTGATTCTAGTTCATAATATTGGTTTTAAGGAAATGCTTTTAAATGCACTGATGTCCGATGTGGTTTATAAAGAAAGCAGCTCTGTGAGACCAAAGCATATTTTAGTTCAAAATGAGGCTTTTTTAGAGTGACTCATACTTTAGGTGCACAGAAACAACTGAGAGCAGCCAGCAAGGAGCTCATGACCCAGAAAGTCTTGCCTTTGCCTCCAGTCTTGAAGAGCAGTCTGGGAGTGGAAGGAGAGGGTACAAAGAATGCCAATCTTGAGGGGGTGTGAAAAACCTGGGCCCAGGCCAGATTGTAATGAATTCCAGTAAATGGTTTACAGCCATCCTGGTACAAAGGACGGGAACATGTTTACTAGATGTCTGGAGTGTGCTTCTGTAATCCTGGTACTCGCCTAATCCTGATAATCCTGGGGTGTTAGCCTCACACAGGATTGTTGATGAGAATGCAAATCCCAACATTGCGATTCAGGATTTTGCTTGTGCTGAAATTGTACTGTGTAAATTTTTTCTTTCTGGGTTGGTTGGGTGATGGTTCTTTGCTCCATTCCCCAGTGTTTAACAGCATTTCTTTGTCCTGGAGTGGGCGTGGAGTCTTATAGTTTGTAGTTGATAAAGTGGAATTACGTGTAGTTTTGTTTTTGTAAAAGTAATAACAAAAAGAATCTGGGCAGTATTAAAGAAGATTTTTTAAAATAGGTAAAAGAAGAAAAAAAATCATCTATAGTTCCACCACCCAGACCTAACCTTTGTTAACACTGTGAGTGTATGTTCTCCCTGGTGTTCTGTACAGGCAAGTGCTAGTTAACAAAAATGGATTTATGGTATGTGTACTGATGATATATGTTGTGAAACTTGATTTTTTGACGTATATTGCATAGCACTTTTGTTTTGAAGTATAATATGCATACAGGAAAGTACACATATCATAACTCCCTATGTCACAAGCGCCCAGATTGGAAAGCAGAATATTAACAGTACCCCCAAAGCCCCTGACACACAACTCCCAGTAGCCTCCTGCATCCTCAGTGACAACTACTATCCTGACTTCTAACAGCATAGATTGCTTTTGCTTGTTTTGGTTCTTTATGTAAATGGAACTAGACAGTATTTACTTTTTATGTGTTTAGTTGCTTCGCTCAACATTGTATTTGTGGGCGACGACTATACTGTTGCATTTGGCTGTGGAGTGTTCATTTTCATTGCAGTATAATACTCCATTGTGTTAGTAGACCACAGTTATCCATTCTGCCACGTTTGGGTAATTTCTAGCGTTGGGTGTTAAAATAATGCTGTCGATGTTTTTTCCTCTGCAAGAGAAGCCAGACCTAGAGTGGGTGAGAGGAACACTGACATTTCTTGAGGATTTAGAGTATGGTGAAAGACAATGTACCCAGCTGTGGTGCCACTCTACTCGAGCATGCTGCTGCAAATAATTTGTTACTAACCATAAAGTACCAGAAAACCCTGATGTACTCCTGATGTATATATTAGAGCAAATTCAAGGTTAATCCTCTATGTGCCTAACCTTTGACCCCCAAGGACACAGCTCCCACCACCACCCTTCCCAGTGGTGGCACCGGAATATTTCTAGCCCTACAAACCTATGTTCAGGATGTGGTCTTGGTTCCCATGCCCCGTCCCCTCTCTGATAAAACCTCTATTATACTCCGTTAAGGCTCATCTGACCCTCTCATTTGACCATCTAATGACCTGATTACTACCCATCATCTTGAAAAACCTGCTACCTGCCTTCCTCTTCTGTCCTTCCAAATGACTTCAGCTTCTGTGTGGTTTACCCATCTGTGTTGGGAGTCCCCAAGGTAACCATACTCATAGCTATGATTTCTTACAGCAAAAAGAGACAAAGCAAAATTAGCAAAGGGAAAAGATGAATGGGCAAAGTCTGGAGGAAACAAAGCTCAAACTTTCAGAGGGGATTTCAAAAGGAATCCCACAGGATGTACTTCGTTCTCCCAACAATGTGTAATTTCAACATGTTTGGAATGTCGTCCACCAGGGAGGCTGATTAGAGACTCCCTTCCCAAGGTTTGGATTGGGTGCTGGTTATGTCGGCACCTTCTGCTTGGCACATACCAAAGTCTTAGACCCCCCGAAGTAAGACAAGTGAACCACATTGTACAAACAGTTTAGGTACAGTGTGCCACTCTTATCAGTTCTGGGAACAGTGGAAACCCTCCTGAAATCCAAGTTTCCAGATGTCAACCAAGGGCCAAACCTGTAAGCAGGCCTTATAGAGGATAGGCCTGCGAGGTTCACTCTTCCAGACCCATCCCACACCCTGCTTCCTGTTCCTTGTCCTGTGACCTTTTCCTCATCCCTGCCCACCCAAAATTGTCCACACACCTGGACGTTGTCCATCAACCTCAACTGCATCACCTCTGAATCATGGATTTAGACACCCCATACTTTGATCTTCCAACTACTTGCTGAAGAAATAACTTTTAAAAATACAGTAATCTAACCACTCAGTTGCTCAGTAACTGTTTTTAGCCTGGCGCAGAACTCCAGGTCAGGGATCTTTCTACTTTGGATTCATCAGCTCCTTCCTTCCGCTTTCCCCACCATCACCACCAACCACCCTAGACTCCATGATCCTTCATCTGTCTTGCAAGTACCCTCAACTCTCTTGTTCCTCTTTTGGGCTTGTCCTCTTGCCTAAAAGCATCCACCCATCCACATTGTCAGTATTCATCCAGAGGGCCGAATCCTGCAAAGGAATCACAAATGAGCAAATTAATACCATTGTAAATCTGATTACTGCTCTCTACTGGGCCCTTCACATTGCCAGCAGAACTTAGTACTTTTCTGTAATCATTTCTCTGCAGTCTGCTAATGGCCTTGCCATCTATATCAAAGAGAACTGAGGACATTGGATGGAAACTGCCTCAAGCACTTA